TGAATAGGTTTTCGGATCGTCGGATTTCACAGAAAAAATAGTTCGAATTTCGGATCTGGCGAATATTTTACACGTATTTGCGGATCTTATTAATACAGCGGATTTATCTAATATTTTGGCTCGGATTGTGGATTAGCTTGCAATTTAGTTCGGATCCTGGATTGTGACTTCATAGTATAGAGCTTTTGGCGGATTCAAATTTAGACAAGATCATTGTCGGATCGCGGATTTTGCTTCAAATTTTGGCGGATCGGTGGATTTGTGTACCCCTATTCACCCCCCCAACAAAAAACACATTATATTCACCTCAGTGCATAACATCAAGACACGCAAAAAACTCATTAAAAATAGATTTATTAACCATTCCATCTTGCAAACCACGTGTCCTTATCAATATGAAACTCGATTTTCCGAAGTCTTTTTAGTGCTCAATTAATTAACTCACAACATTTTACGAAACTTTCCGAAGAAATTTAGTCCCACATAAAGAAGTATTAACAAGTTTACCCCATACCTGCTTGTGACGTCATCAATAACTTAGTTCATTTCGGGTCAATAGACCTTTCCCCTTATGAGTGAAATTTTGATCTAGATATGCCTGGGCAACAATTTCATCACAGCTTGAAAGAGCATCACAGAATTAGTAACTATTCCGACGTTTCGTTGCGAAATGTTGTAAAATGCGGATAATATAGCCTTGCGAAGTTTGCAGTTTTTCGATCCGTCATTTTGCATTACAATCTAACAGTTTGCATCAGTTTGATCATCTGATTATCAATATCTCGCGTTTATAATACCAAATGACTGAAAAACGGCAATATTATCCGCATTTTACAACATTTCGCAACGAAACTTTGGAATATTACTAATTTTGTGATGCTCTTTCAAGCTGTGATGAAATTTTTGTCCAGACTTGTCTAGATCAAAATTTCACTCAAAAGGGGAAAGGTACAGGTCTATTATAATACCAAGATGCCAGACCGCACACTGTTTTCATGGTCAAAATATTTCGAAAACCAAGCAAGGTGCGAAAAGTTGTTAAAGGTCTTCATATATAACTTAAAACGTTCTTTCAAAAAAGACAAAGTTATTTCAGTGGTGCCGCCTAAATTACTTTGAATTTGTACTTGAGTAAAAGTAGAAGTAAATAGTAATTAATACTTCAATGGTATGGTCTACCTTGCAAACCCCGTTGAAGATATAAGAAAACCATTAAATAAATAATGCTTACAAGTAAGCCACAAACGAGAGTCCCAGAGGCATGTAGATGTTCTATTACCTATCCCAAAATTAAAACTAAATCAGGAATAAATGACGTAAAATAAAAACAAAAGTTAGAAAGTAACAAAATTTTTCGCCACAAAATGAAAATAACGAAGTAAAACGTTTACTTACTTCTCAGTAAAACGACTTCGTTCCCAGTAAAAGTACTCCGGAAAAAAGCTAAGTTTACTTTGTTGTTACATGCTGACATCTCAAAAATAGTACTCAAGTACAGTAACGAAGTGCATTTACTTCGTTAATTGACACCATGCACTGGTTTATTTTTATTGAAAATTCACTATCAAAGATGGAACAATAATAGTCGCTTTTCAATTAATTGAAAGTTAGAAGAGAGCACTGTTAAAAACAATTTATAGTAGATTAGTAGGCTGAGCGCCACAAGCAAAGAAGCCCTGGGATCAGATTATTAATACGATCGGTTCTCGAGCACTGTTGCGTTGTATGACACCATGCCTTATCGTTGTATACCTTTGCGGCGTTACCGAGTCTCGCCGACGAGTTAGAGCGAGTTCAAAAACGAGCGTTGAGGATTATTTTACCGGGCTACTCTTACAGGGAACTGGGGAAGCCTTAGCACGACTTGGATGTTCCAGATTGGATGAAAGGGGAGAACAACTTTGCCTCAATACTATGAAACTCATAGAAAAACGAGGACCTTTGTCAAAATATGTTCCATTGACCAGGTCTAGTACAAATAATTACGAACTTAGAAACTCGAACACATTAACAACAATAAAATGGCGAACAGAAAGATATCTGGCGGCCATATTCTTAGCAAGTGCCCTAAAGAGTGGCATTCACTCCCCCTGGAACATTAAATTTCAATATGTTTTCAGGCGGTGACGGCATCTCTTTAGAGCACTTGCTAAGAACATGGCGGACAGGAAAAATATACCGAAAAATTCCTTACGGTGAAATTAATAAGAAGTGAGAACTCTGTATTCCTCTGTATGGTATTTACTCTGTGCGATCTCTGCCTTGTCCCCAGTCGCTTTCGAAGTGGGGAGAGGAAAACGAGAAAAAATCAAATCTCAAACTCAATAATTCATGATTAAATTAGCCAACTATATTGCTTTATTTTGCTCACATGATAATACAAGATACCTGATGAAGTATGTTGTTGCAGCCCTAGGACTCATGGAACAAAATTAATTCAGTCCTTGGACTGGATAAATAATAATTAAGTAGTGATTTATTCGCATGAGATTCCATTTCAAATCCTCCAATTCGGACTGGATTAGAATTCAAGTCCTCGCATTTTGATCCAGTCTTCGGCTTCGCCTCGAAATGCCTCTCTGCCTCATCCGCAGGCCCTCGGTGCGTCATGTGAAGGTCACACACAATCTGGCGAGGGCCTGCGGAATCTTGTAAAAAAAATGGCGCCGGCGTCACGTCAGCAAGTAAATTTATACATACTATCTTGAATATAAACAGGTTATAAAAAAGCGGCGTGAAACTTGTAAATTAAAATGGCGCGACTCTAAGGACGTGGAAGGAAGCATTTTTTAATAACGATAAGGTTTGTTGTTCACACCAACGTCGCACGAATAAAACTGCCTTCTTTAACGAAGCAGGTTTAGAACAACATTTATTCATTTTACAAGATTCCGCAGGCCCTCTCGAAATCGTGACCTTCCCATGACCCAACGAGGGCCTGCGGAGGAGGCAGCCTCGGACTTGATCAAATTGTGCGGACTTGAAATCTAGTCCAGTCCTCATAGTCGGATTTGAAACTGAAATATTATTTCCATGATCATGCATTGCCCTGGAATAGACCTTATGCATAATGACGTCACAAGGATTGATGCCTGCTTAGTAGTCATCGCTTGGGAACATTTCGTTAGTGGCCATTTTGAATTGTTTAATTTTCCTAGGTGACTACTAAGACCAGCATTCCTCGCGAGCATCAAGCCTTGTGATGTCATTGTGCATAATTAAGGTCTATTGCCGGCAGAGATTGCCTGGCAACTTATCACATCCACTGATCTATATAGATTGCAATTGCACTGCACTGTGTAAAACAGGGCGCTTATATATATATAAGCGCCCTGGTGTAAAAAGAAAGGCCTGCGGAGGAGTCTTTAGCCTGCGAATATACCCGCCCGATTTCTTCAGAAAATGCAGCCCAGTGATGCAGCCTGACTTGCCTGATAAACGAAACGTGCTCGGAAAAGAAAATGGCGGGTGCTGGAGCAGAATATTTGGCTTCGATTTTTGGTACAGAAAAGGACAAGTATGTGATTTATAAGGATTACTTTGCCAAATTTTGAATCATCAGTACTTCGATTGTTAAGTTATAGAATTTTATTTTGAATTATGCTTTCTAGTTGTATAAATTTATATAATAGCATCACCACTCGCTACTGACTTACTCTTCAACTCTTGCAGTCTTGCTGACAAATGACAATGTAGTATCATAGTTTTAATACACAGCAGTAGGAGTATTGTATGTATATATGAATACTGTTTTAAAATATCTATAAATATGTCTAGAAAGATAAATTTGGGGTAGATCTGAAGATCTCTGAGTATTAAACATTGCGAGCAATATAAAGAAAAAAGGTGTTTGAAATATCTAGTTTATATCGGTTTATATTTCATGTTTTCATAAAAAACAGTACTGCTCCTATCAATCCCATACCGAAATACCAAAAACCTATATCAAAATAAAAATACTGATAATGTTGATATTTGATATTTTGGCGTTTTGTTACCCCTAGTAGTTTACCCAGTTTCAGTGGTGTATTAAACTTAACCCTGAATGGAAAGTTTGGAAATTGTGTGTCCGAGATTATGAAAATTTAATAGTAAATACATTGGGACATCAAAACTGCGCAGCCAAGATCTCGGCTGTGCGTTGCAAACTTTCCAGACTGGAACTTAACTATTAGGCCGATGGAATTAAGGTATCAGTTTACCGTCACCTAAAATTTCTCAAATTTTGAGTTAAAAATTCAAATTTCGACCGAAAAAATCCAAGAAAATTTTGACGATTCTTGAACTTTTTGCCAGCTTCCGAGCTGTCAGTTATGTCTTTGACTCTGTTTAGCCGTGGCTTTGCCAACTGTATAAATAAAGTCAGTATTTGCCCAAATATACAACAGAAAGCCATTTTTGAAACACTTGCTGTACAAATCACTACACTTTGAAAATGTCAAAGAAGCGGGAGGTTTATATTTTATATTTATACAATTTATATGTCCATTGTCAATAAATAAAAAATAATTCCTAACATTTAATATTTCTGTGTGATTTCCGAAGTGAAGTGTCACAAACCGAAATAAGCATATTTAATTACATTACACATTTCTGTCATCTCCAATGTATGTCCACGAACAATGATTGAACTGAACCCTAGAACTGAATGCTTTCCTTTAAAATGCAATGAAATTTCTTTCAAGGTTCTGTTTGTTTGAAATTGGCAGTTTAAAATGGCACTAAAAACCACAGAATAAAAAATTAATGTGGCGCTCGGGTGTGCATATAAGAGTCTACTTTGTTTATTATTATGACAAGGTTCAGTTAGCAAGATTCTTAATGGAAATTTATTACAATGTTTACTAAAGTATGAATATTTCACAAATTACATGCAAAAACAATAAAAAATCTACATAATTTCAAACACTGGTAATTTTAATAGTTTTGTTTGTGGAAACACCACGTAAATTTATTACTGCAAAGCTTTCGATCCGTAAGCCCGGATCTTCATCAGTGCTTCTTCATCTTCTCATATTATTAGCACTGATGAAGATCCGGGCTTATGGTTCAAAAGCTTTGCAGTAATAAGTTTACGTGGTGTTTCCACAAACAAAACTATTATATATTTTTTATCACCATGCAAACATACAAAGAACTTATTACTGGTAATTTTACTATGTTCTCCCAAAGTTTTAACTTCAAAAGTTTATTCTAAGGATGTTAAGAATAATAAGAAAGCGAATTCTTTTCGGGTTTTTTGACAACATTTTGTCAAAACTATGCAGGGGTCACCTACCTTGTGGTGATGTCATATTTTTAAAATCTTGAAGTGTCAATTGGCTGTTGTGCATGGCGTTTCATAATGGAATCGCTTTTTTAACATCCTTAGAATGAACTTTTGAAGTTAAAACATTCAGAGAACGTAGTACCGGTACAATACAAATGAAAAAAATGTTATTACAGTTAACACCACAAACAAGGTTTACAAAGTGTAGGATTCAAGCATGCTGAGAATAAAATTGTTAGTTTAATATAATGTTAGAACATATGAATAAATAATTTGAAATTTTAAAGTTTCTTTTGGAACGTTCAATGTCTGATGCGATGGAAATGGGAGTTTTCTTCCACATACAGTACAACTGCCTCGCACACAAAAGACTTGTGCATGAAGGTGGGTGAAGGCAATCTTCTTCAGCAACCAGGTCATGACAGTAGAAGGCTGGAAGTGTTTTTTTTCACAGCAATCTGATCTACCAAGGTTGTTAAAAAATGCTGTGTTTCCCCGCTGCAACCTTCAAATGCGCTGAATACCCAGGGCCTTGCAATTTGCCCCCAGTTAAAGGGGCCCTAAAATTTGTAAAAGAGGATCCACAAAAGCTGAATTAAAAAAAATTTATTTGGAACGTTTTTTATATAAATAATGGTATGAGAAAAAGATTTTAAGACCTTAATTTTACTGGTATATTACCCGTGTTTTTGCAGGTATTTGTCTGGAAAAATGTTTTTGAACCGTAATTTAAGTGGTGTTTGTCCATAAAAACTTTTGAACCTTTTCTTTTTCTGCCTTCTTGAGGGGGAGGGTTAAAGTCTATTTAGACTGGCAATAGTAAAATGTACTAGGATGTCCAAATGGAGAGGTAGGTTAACTTCCAATTTCCTCTGTGGGGCAGGCCTGGATGTTTTCTGAAATGACCCAATCCAATCGAATTATCAGATGTGAAACTTGTCTCATACCGGTAGTGGATTTATATCAGGCACATTTTCTGTCCAATTTTCTGTCATCAAACGCCCATTTACACTACGCTCAATTTTTGGTATGGCACGGAGAAAATTGGTACCCGTACCACTTTTTTGGTTCTTGGACTACCTATTTAGCTAAGCCCCGTTTACACTACGCTCAATTTTTGGTACCGTACCACTTTTTGGTTCTTGGACCACCTAAATAGGTAGTCCAAGAACCAAAAAAGTGGTACGGGTACCAATTTTATCTGTGCCGTACCAAAAATTAAGCGTAGTGTAAACGGGGCTTATGTCTATTGCAAAAATGTGGCTAAATTGATTCTGGTTTTAGGGTCAACTGCTCATTTTACTTCAAGATAGGAGCATGTCGTCACGGTGACAGATGTTCCCGTATACACAACAAGCCAACATTTAGTCAGGTATTCATTTAATTGATTGTATAATATAGGGCCTTACCTTACAAAAATATCCTGTACTGTAGTTCTGGTTTTCCAACAGAGTCACAAATTGTTTCTGTCATGCAGTTGTCTGCTTACCTGCCGAGCTTGGGTGGTTTCCGCAGGCTTCTTGCTTCATAACACAATGTATTGCCAAAGTATAGCATTGTTGTAATAGTTATTTATGAACATTGGTTTATACACAGGGGGCCCCACTATGAGTTATGATTGAAATAATATTGTATTTATTTTTAAAAACCTACTTGAATCCCTTGATAATCGATTATTTCTTCTCTCGAAATTCTGTAAACATTTTAAACTGCTTGAATCATTATACTATCACTCTACATGAAGTATAGGTGATCGCTGACAAGTAAGAACGTGGGCGCGGAAAGACGAAGGCGGCAAAATTAAAGAAGGAAGATCTTCCTTCTTTCGCCGCCTTCGTTTTTTCGCGCCCGCGGTCCTTACTTGTCAGCGATCATCTATACTTCATGAAACGTCATGTAGAGTGATAGTATAATGACTCCAAGCAGTTTAAAATGTTTACAGAATTTCGAGAGAAGAAATAATCGATTATCAACGGATTCAAGTAGGTTTTTAAAAATAAATACAATATTATTTCAATCATAACTCATAGTGGGGCTCCCTGTGGTTTATATTGAGATGTTTATGTGTTGTAGCAATGCAAGGAAAAACCCTTAAAAACCTGAAACTAGAACCACAGGGTATTTTAGTTGGGCTTAATTTAAAGCAATCCTTTCTAACACAAATTAAGGTGAGCACCAATTAATTTGCTCATATGAAAGGTAGTGATGCTTGAATTCTGCCTGTTCCGAATTGTAACGTGTTCCCTATTGTGTACTTTTGTGATGAAAGGATGTGTAAAAGGTAGAGATTCAATATGGTTGAAATTCGCTCAAAATATTCACAAAATGTGCAACGAAATGGCCACCATTTTGTCAGTGTTTCCATTTTGCTAAATCGAAAGGTTCTGTGAAATCTCTTAAAATCTCTATGAAAAGAATTTGTGAACCGATTTTTATCTCTATTTTGTATATACTGTACACCCTGTCTGGAAAGCTAGGATTGTACTGTTTATGGAACTAAATACATGTGTTTTGTGTGCTAATCTGTTTTGGCCTGCCAAAATTTGTCAGCTGGGAAAGACATTAATTCCAAGATTGTGTCTGCTGAACAGGGCTTTTAATAGATTCCAGCTATACGAACGAAATCCAATACCATACTGCCATAACTGGAAAGAGTATCTTAAAATTGAGTAAAATTGCAAAGTTTGGTTGCGAATTGTTGTAAAATGAGGAAAATATAGCCCTGTGAAGTTCGCAAATCTTGTATATATATTTGCATTACGCGCGGGAAAAATAAGCGCGCGTAATACATAGGGATGAGCCGATAAGGAAAATTGCCGATTACTGAGGCCGATTATTTATAAGCCGATTATTGTAACTAATCGGCTGATTAATCGGTACCCACCGATTATTTTAAAAAGCAAGCGAAAAATCACAAGACGACCAACAATGAAGTTGTAAATGCGGTTTTATTGGGGTTTTTTTATTTACTGATATTGATTTACAATTAAAAACAGCTTCATTCTTTTATAGTCAATAGTCAAAGTTTAGTTTTGGCAGATTATGGTGTAAAAACAAGGCACTGTCAGCTACGCGGAGCTAGTCTGCTGCGTTTTTTTAGTGGAAATGTTCCCAGCTTCACTTGCTTGAGACAAAAGACACAGGTTTTGCAACAAAATGTGAAAATCTATTCGCTTGTATTCAGTATTTTAGCATGTGATTGGCAGCTGCAGAAAAAGTCTTATGGCCGATTATTTGCCAATTATCAGGCAATAATCGGCCGATTACCGATTATCTAAAAAACGGCCGATTAATCGGCTTTGCCGATTATTTACCGATTAATCGGCTCATCCCTAGTAATACAAATATATACAAAATTTGCGAACTTCACAAGGCTATATTTTCTTCATTTTACAAGATGTCGCAACCAAACTTTGCAGCTTTACTCATTCTAAGATGCTCTTTCTAGCTGTGGTGTTGGATTTCGTCCTTCTTGCCTAAATCAAAATTTAGTCTATAACTGGAATCACCCATTAATGGAACCTTTACATTTTCCTTTAAATTTTCTTTTAGACTGTTCTTCTACAGAACTTGTATCAAAGCCCTCAAAGTGCAGCTCAAGTAACAGATGGTTCAGGTACTAGAAATTAGGGTTTACTTGTAGGGGGCCATTTTTGCACTGCAGCGAAGCTGGCACAACACTACACACTCGCGGTGGATTAGCATGCAAATCAGGCGTTTTGGGTGAGCTGGCTGAATAAACACCTGCAGCCATCCCATTGATAAAAAAATGTGTTTGGATTAGGCTACTGTAATTAACACTGCTTATTTACTTCTGGTAATCACTGATCGCATTATTGTTGAATTTCGTATTGTGTGCCAAAATGTCAACACCTCAAATACTTCGAAACTTCTTTCTCCCAACCTTTAGCAAAGTTCTAATGTTCTGTGATTACTTTTGAGATTAGATTTGTTGGCACTTGAGAGACTGTAAAACTCTCTGCATTGACATCAATTGCTGGAAGTGGTCGAAATTTACATTTGCTTCTATCATATAACCGGAATTGTAGATTTTGAAATTTACTATTCCGTCTGAAGATCCACTATTCTTTTCTATTCTTTTATGTCTCTGAGAACCTGTTCACAGGCGTGTGTCTCTGCATGACAATAGAGACCTTAAGATTGACGTTTACGGCAAACGTCAAACCGCTAGCGAGGTTTTTGATTTTACAACTCTATTATAATAGCTTTTACACCAGTTTTGTAATATGTTAAACTTATTAAACTTGTGCTCTTTAGCAATGATTTAAGAAAGCAAATTAACCACTAGTCATGCCATTCACCAAAGCAGTAAATTAAGATTTGGCGTTTGAAGTTGACGTTTGGCGTATAGATTTCATGCTTGAACTGCTACGAGGGCTTGTAATCGTTAAAGCATGAAATTTATACGCCAAACGTCAACTTCAAACGCCAAATCTTAATTTACTGCTTTGGTGAATGGCATGACTAGTGGTTAATTTGCTTTCTTAAATCATTACTAAAGAGCACAAGTTTAATAAGTTTAACATATTTCAAAACTGGTGTAAAAGCTATAATAATAGAGTTGTAAAATAAACATTTCGCTAGCGGTTTGACGTTTGCCGTAAACGTCGATCTTAAGGTCTCTAATTGCGACAAAAGCCGAAAGACCTCTGAAGATCAGCAAACAAACATAGCAACACTGTATTTTATGCAACAAGAATCTATCAAATGCACGTGCAAATACTCGACTACAAAATCAACAGTTGTAACAGTAAAATTATCCTCAATATTAACGTACATACTAGTGATATTATAAATTGATAACCACAATTCAGTTTTCTACAGTACTAACGGAATACAGACATCACGAAGCTTAGTAGTTTACTATTCCAGGGCTCAAAATAACGGGAGCTACAGTAGGTCTCCGGTCAAAATGACTGGTCAACTTGATTTTAGCTCGGTCAAAATCTGTTTTTGACCGGTCATTGATACGCTTACACTAACAGTGAAACAAACTTGTTTCGATACATCGTAGTTCATGTTTTCATTCAAGACGTCAGCAATCACATTGGAAGGCATGAAAATGTGGCCGGTCAAAAAGTGACCGGTCAAGAGGCACTTTGGCCGGTCATTGTTCGTTGACCCGCCGTTATTTTGAGCCCTGCTATTCCATCAGGCATTCTACTATATATGGAATGACGGAATATGCTGAAATTCAACGACCAATACAATAGATATGTAGAAGCATACCCTGTGTAGTATTTATAACTATATTTACGTGTATTTTTTACCGTTTTGTGCTTAAAATTGACAAGAAAAATGATCGTGTTGCCGTGACTCATATGATGCGAGTAACCTGAGCATGCATTCAGTTTTGGCGTAATTCCGAATAGTTCAGGTTGAAACAATGTTTGGAAAACAAAGGCGAGGGGTTGCTGTATGCATGTATTTCTAGTGGTACTTCTAACAAATTCCTGGCGCAAATGTTCTACCGTTTCTCACATGAAAAATTTTGCTATAACTTGATAACAAGTAATTTTAGAAAAAAATACAGACATTTTAGACCTTTCTATTACATGCTCTTTGTACTTCGTTGTTCATACCTTTGGTGGATGTTATTTTGTTTTGCATGAAAAGTTGAAAACAAAATTTTCCTGAACAGAGATTCTGTTAATACAACACCATTCTTGGTCTGTAGCGATTTGTCTCGTCCTTGAGTTGTTTTCAATTGGCACTTTCGTACGAACCATTGTCCTCATTTTGTTACGCTTGGGCAGCACCGAACTCTCCTTGTGGTTGCTCTGCTTACAGTATGTAACAGCAGCATCTCTAATAACAGCAAGTTTTAGATGCATCTTGAACAGCTACCGATTCTAGCCCAACTGCATGGTGACAGCCGGCGATCTTAGCATAGAATAAGTATAGGTAACACCACAAATAGGTAGCACCACTATAAGTATAGGTAACACCACAAAGTCAGAGTAACACCACAAATATCATATTCACCTGAGTACACTACACCAACACAGAAAAAAAAAAGTATAGGTAAATTACTTATCAGTAATATACATGAAAAGATTATGCAGTCACATGCGTGCGTATAGGTCACATGCGTAATAGTTAATTTGTGCAGGTAATAGAAATGGTTTCGAGTGCAATTTGGATTTAACATGCACGAGTGAGTTTTTCAAGGACATCAAAACTGCAAGAGTCCGAAGGACGAATGCAATTTGAAGTCTTTGGAAAACTCACGAGTGTATGTTTTTCCAAATTGCACGAGAAACCATACTATTACTTATCAGTAATATACATGAAAAGATTATGCAGTCACATGCGTGCGTATAGGTCACATGCGTAATAGTTAATTTGTGCAGGTAATAGCATGGTTTCGAGTGCAATTTGGATTTAACATGCACGAGTGAGTTTTTCAAGGACCTCAAAATAGCACGAGTCCGAAGAACGAGTGCTATTTGAGGTCTTTGAAAAACTCACGAGTGCATGTTTATCCAAATTTCACGAGAAACCATGCTATTACTTATTAATAATTTGCATAAAAATGTTCGAGGCAATTGTAGTTTTAACTTACGCGTTTATAGCGAACATTCCACTAGCAAAGTTTTCCTGGCTTTGTTATATCACATTATACAACGCTAACAGCTTGAAAATTCCACTCAACTATGTAATTTTTGTTAGTTTTGTTTAAGGTAAATGCATGCTTTTCCATTTAAAAATAAAGATAAAAGCCATATTTTCCACGCGAAGGCAACTTTTAGTTTGTGTAGCGGGGCGCCGTGTTTGTTTTGTTTTGAAGCAATCTGTGACCGTTACTTCTTTAAAGTAAATTGCTTTAAACTGACTGGTTGATTTAATCATGACAATGTTTTTCCACCATGCAATCAGATCAGTTTGTTACAGATTTTTGCACTGTGATTACAGAAAATTGCACTGTGATTACAGAAAATTGCACTGTGATTACAGAAAATTGCACTGCTGTTTGGGATTAACTGCACTGAAATCAACCAATCACAGTCGAGTAATATCTTTATGTATATTATTATTTATAATATAGCCGTGTTGATATAACTCAATGTCAACACGGAAACATCGGAAAATTTCTTTCTTTATATTCCTTTGTGCTATATTATAAAGCAAATATAAAACTTTTTTACGTATTGATATATAGTTATATCAACATTCGTGGAAATTGGGAAAACTCGAAATTGTGTTCTCGTTTTCCTAATTCCCACTCGTGTTGATATAATTGTATATCAACACGGAAAATGTTTTATATTTGTTAAATAAATAATTTTAATAGAAAATCTTAAAAACACCAGCCATATTTGTCACTTGTAAATGTTTGGCTTTTTTGTATTATTTTCTGCTAGAAATGGTTGTATCTTATTGTCAATGAAATTTGCACCGTATTTCATTTTTTGGCACTGTATTTCGAAAAAATTCCACTGCTCTTAGCCAATCAGAAATTCAGAATTGAGGAATTTTTCATGCATGTATATTATTATATGAGCGTAATAAGAATGCGGTGTCTCGTGTAACACATTGTATTCATGCAATGTTGACATAACTTTGCACAGAGTCTTGCCCTTACTACTTTTCGTGACCGTTATGCCATGGTAATTGCCTGGTACAGTATACAGTACTTTGGGTAATTATGGAATATCGCATAATGTTTGAATTCATTTCAGGAAGTGCTATTTCAGATGTAGAAGCCCAGGAGCACTATGACAGATTTTTTGAAGTAAGTCTAGGAACTCCAAGTATTTGCATAATTCTATTTTCAAATTTCCAAACATAGTAATATCAACAGTACAGACTAAAGTTTTGCATGTTTACAGCATTCAATTTAACAAACCATGCACAAAAAAACTGATTGCCAATTAAAACTGCGGTAATTTAGATTGTATTTTTATGGTATTTAACAAATGAAGTTCTTTCATTTGTAGGACGTATTTCTAGAGCTGGAAAAGGTATGTGAATAAATAAATGTAGAATTTGAATAATGTGGTACAATATAGCCCAGGTAAAATCCTGTGCAATAGAGATTTAAAATATCCAGCAGAGTTAGATTTGACAGAAAGCGGGATAATATGTAGCTTCAATTTTGACACAAGATAATTTCGATAAGGATTTTCAAAGTGCTTTTGGAATTTGTAAACAAGTAAATTATATGACAATCCAGTATTGAGAAAGACAAAATTTCACTTGAGACGTAAGAAAATTTCCTATTAAGATATCTTAAGAAATATCCTGGCAGCAGTGCTGCCGAATACTCTCAGCTCTGGCTCTTGCGGAAAGTACCTGTACGTTACCTTAGCTATAGACAGTATTTTATGTCGTGACTAAGAATGGCTTTGCATTGTAATTAGTGCAACTCCCATTGCCGAGGAAAAAGGCACATTTCGTAGAGCATTGGACTGGCAAACCAAAGGTCGTGGATTCGAATCCCACTGCTCTTGCCGTTTCAAGTGTCGTGCATGGAGGTCCTTGAAACTCTTGAAAAGTGCTTATACTGTATATTGAACAATAAATTTCAAGAGCACTTGGAAAGTCCTTGAAAAATAAGAAGTTTATTGAAAGTGCTTGATAATCAATCATAAATATGGAAATGAGGAAATGAGAAGTTGATCATGCATATTAATCATTGAAGGATGATCATATTAATATTTTACAGGGTGTCCAAGTCGCTGGGCAAATCCGTGCCATTTTCAAATTTTTTTCCCAGTTCTAGGTCCTTGAATTTACTGAAAGAGGGCCTTGAAAGTCCTGGAAAAGTCCTTGAATTTCACCTTCACCAAAGGGTGGACACCCTGATTTTATTTTCCAAAAAAAAATATTCCAGGACTGGAAAGTCCTTGAAAATCAGTAGAAGTCCTGGAATTAATTTCCTTAACCTCCATCTGTGCTAACATTAGTGATTTTGATTAAAATTACTGAATAAAGTGAATTAGTTGCTGGGCAAATCCGTGCCATTTTCAAAAAATTTCCCCAGTTCTAGGTCCTTGAATTTACTGAAAAAGGGCCTTGAAAGTCCTGGACAAGTCCTTGAATTTCACCTTCACCAAAGGGTGGACATCCTGATTTTATTTTTCCCTTAATGCTTGTGAAGATCAGTCTCTGAATCTATGAAAACTATGCTGGACTGTATGTTATTGCTTAATTCCTTAAACAACTTATGTATAAACGATCATTATTAGCTTATCTGTGGATTATGTTCAGTTCGCCTGTCATTATTACATGTAATAAGTTTACATGAAAATATTCATTTTAATCTCTTAATTAAATAGTGCTTGAAATTTGAAAAGTCCTTATATATAGTCTTATTAGAAACTTGCACGCACCATGAGTTATGTTATCTGCTTTAACACAAGAGTTTTCATTTCACATTGAACATTTTTTTTATAAATGTGTAAATGTTTTGTTTTATTTTTGTTCAAAGTATGGTGAAATTGAAGAAATGAATGTGTGCGACAATCTTGGTGATCATCTTGTTGGCAATGTTTACATTAAATATCGTCGTGAAGAAGATGCCGAGAAAGCATGCAAGGTGTTGAACACCAGATGGTATGATGGTATGTACTCATTGTTCTGTATTTATATGACTTTAATTAACAACCTATCCATTGAAGGAGTTGATTATTATTTCACATGTTAAATGTTAAGTTCCACAAGTACTGTACGTCAGGTATAGATATCTGCCTTGCATGTTTCTTCTCCAGTAAAATATTTTGTACCTGGTCCACTTGCAGTTCGTATTTTATTATTTGTGTTTAGGTAATTATGTTTTTGCATCGATTTGTTTGTTTGTGTGTTTGCTGTCAGCATGAAGGATAACCGAAAAACCATCAAACAGTTTAATGCAAGCATTTGTGGAGCTATTAATGGCCGTTTGGCCAAGGTCAAATATAATGACAGTTGGATGAGAATTTTGTTTTTCCTTTCCTTTCTATATTTATTAACATTTATACACAAATATAATTACGCCTTAAAACTATAGGCAGTCCAAATATCTAAGGACGAAAGCGGAATGTTCTTTCGTCAAAATCCAACATCTGAGTTTTTCGAGTTTTCCCAATTTTATTTCCACGAGTGTTGATATAACTATATATCAATACGGAAAAAATGTTTTATATTTGTTTTATAATAAAGCACAAAGAAATATAAAGAAAGAAATTTTCCAACGTTTCCGTGTTGACATTGAGTTATTTCAACACGGCTCTTAGCCAATCAGCGTTCAGAATTTACAAATGCTATATTATAAATGGGGATACACAACTTTACATGCATGCATGTATTGAAGAGTTCACCTACATTGGGGGCCTGTCATAGTCGTATGCATGAGCGACTGCATAACGGTAATTCGCGTGCATTTGCAACCAAACAGAAAATAACCGAAACACAACTGTGCGGTTTCCTCTTAGAGTCGTTTAAGTGCAAAAATATATTAGACAGATATTTCAAGGCAAATTGTAATTGCCAGTTAGTCTACAAATAGTACACCGGTATATGCAGTGACATTGTCAGTTGTTAGTATCAACTATGCAATCCAATGGCAGTATTATAGCCAGTAGTTGAAATATTTCCACTTCCTGATACATTGCCCCTATTCATATAAAGAATATTGCGGATTTGCGATGTGCATGTATGAATTCCCTTGTGACCTGATTACTGATCTACATAACATCAACTAATAAACTGTATACATGATGTCATCAGTCACACTTCATTCTATATCTGAGAAGAGCGCGAGGAACCCATCTTCTCTTCGACTCTTGCCACGAGAAATATTTGCGTATATGAGTATACTGAACTATTCACCACGATCGATCGAGCTATAAGTTTGAAAGACCCACATTAACATGATGCACAAAAGACATGCATGTATCAACATTCAATTTATTCCAGATTTAGTTCCATTCAGTCACAACCAATAACAACAAGTATTTTGCCTAAACATGCAAATTCAACTAGCGGAGTAGTATAGTAGGTGGTTTTCAACCCCCTTTTTCAGGGCAGCGCATCATTAAAAATTCAGGGCGGCGCATCATTAGCATAATCTTCATAACTCGTCATAAACTCTAGCACTCTTCCAGGATTTACTTGTCTGGCAAGCATAGAAATTTGCTGTTTATCTCTTGGTGACTTGAACAACACGATATAATGAGCGTTAAGGCTGATATTTCTCATTTCTTTGCCCTGATGAAATATGTTTTGGACAATATAGATGATAGACAAATTTCGATGATGGCTTCCTTTGGTAAAAAGATCAGAAATGCGTTTATCTTTACCAGATTGAGCCATAAGGTCGTCCAATCCGATCAAATTCCTTTGTGATACGTCCAAGTAATCTGCGTTGTCGATGTCGTCGGGGATGCCTTGATTAAACTGGATTCCAGGCATCGTTCTCATATCAAAATAAGATGGTTGCCATTGACCATAACACCAGATGATACGTTGAGGAGGTGGACTTATAGTTTTCTGTGAATTCTCCAAAAGAGTTTTCAACCACACAGTCTTGCCGCTTTGTGTACACCCAGCTACGATGCACGTGAAAGGATGTTGCATGACTGTAACGCCATTTACCGTAAGAGTTTGTTGCCCAAGATTACGATTTCCATATGCATGGACAACCTTCTTGTGGCGAAGGAGATTACTCGCATTTGCAAACGTTTTACCGCAGATGTCGCATTCATTACTTCTCAAGAGTCAGAGTAAAATGATTTTTGTCTGGCAAGCATAGAAATTTGCTGTTTATCTCTTGGTGACTTGAACAACACGATATAATGAGCGTTAAGGCTGATATTTCTCATTTCTTTGCCCTGATGAAATATGTTTTGGACAATATAGATGATAGACAAATTTCGATGATGGCTTCCTTTGGTAAAAAGATCAGAAATGCGTTTATCTTTACCAGATTGAGCCATAAGGTCGTCCAATCCGATCAAATTCCTTTGTGATACGTCCAAGTAATCTGCGTTGTCGATGTCGTCGGGGATGCCTTGATTAAACTGGATTCCAGGCATCGTTCTCATATCAAAATAAGATGGTTGCCATTGACCATAACACCAGATGATACGTTGAGGAGGTGGACTTATAGTTTTCTGTGAATTCTCCAAAAGAGTTTTCAACCACACAGTCTTGCCGCTTTGTGTACACCCAGCTACGATGCACGTGAAAGGATGTTGCATGACTGTAACGCCATTTACCGTAAGAGTTTGTTGCCCAAGATTACGATTTCCATATGCATGGACAACCTTCTTGTGGCGAAGGAGATTACTCGCATTTGCAAACGTTTTACCGCAGATGTCGCATTCATTACTTCTCAAGAGTCAGAGTAAAATGATTTAAAGCAAGGGTGAAGAGGTATTTTTATTCCGTTTGCTATTGTCGTAACATTAAGACTATGGTGATGATTAAGACTATTGTCATGACTATTAAGACTATAGTCATGACTATTAAGACTATGGTGATGATTAAGACTATTGTCATTTTAATTTAATTTTTAATTTAATTTTTAATTTAATCAAATTTGAAATGAACATTAGAAAAGACTATTAAGACCATAGTAAAGAATATTAAGACTATAGTCATGACTATTAAGACTATGGTGAAGACCATTAAAACTATAGTCATGACTATTAAGACTATAGTCATGACTATTAAGACTATGGTGATGATTAAGACTATTGTCATGACTATTAAGACTATAGTCATGACTATTAAGACTATGGTGATGATTAAGACTATTGTCATTTTAATTTAATTTTTAATTTAATTTTTAATTTAATCAAATTTGAAATGAACATTATAATATTTACAAATTATGAATGTCATTTGCGGTCGGTTTAAAACAGAATTCAAGATTCCATAATACTTAAACCGCCAATAGTCGATATTAGTTAAATACTAAATGAATTAAGAAACTATGCATATATAATATTACAAGTCTATGGAAATACTGAAAAACTAAGTTACATCACACAATGCTTTAAATTTATCATAATATGTCGAGATTAAACTACGTCGAAATACAGAGAGCCTATCTGACTCTCTTATTCCAAGTGGTAAATCATTCCACAGTCGACATATTCGGACGAAATAACTATTTTTAAATGCCTCTGTTCTGCTAAATGGGACATTTAAAGTTAAATAGTCAATGCCTCTGAGTGGCCTAGTGCAAGAACGAAAGGATATGTACTGAAAGGTATCGATATTATACATACCCTTAAAACACTTATAGAAAAATACAAGATCACTAATTTCTCTCCGATACACAAGAGGAATAAAATTCAATTTAACAAGCCGGTCATTGTAATTAAAATCTCTGCCTACAATAAACCTGGTGGCTTTTCGTTGAACCTGTTCAATTGATATAATATTTATCTTGGTATGAGGAGACCAAACAGGACTGGCATACTCCAAACGTGATCTAACCCAAGTTATAAACAATTCTCTTTTTACGCTAATATCACTTATATCCTTACAGGCACGGTATAAAAGATTTAACATTTTATGAGCCTTGGAAGTAATACAATCAACATGGCTATTCCAGCTTAGATTATATGTTACGAGAACACCGAGATCTTTTTCGGCAGGAACTCGTTCCAATTTCTTACCGCCTGAAAATAATCTATATTATATGGTTTCTTAATACGCGGAATTCTTAAAACCTTACACTTAGCATAATTAAATTCCATTCCCCAGGTATGAGCCCAATCTAACACATTATTCAAATCATCCTGCAATCTAATACCATCTTCCTGTCCCAAAATCAAACGGAAACACTTTGAATCATCGGCAAAAAGTGGGAGGCTTGTTTTCTCCGATATGCAATTAGGCATATCGTTAATATAAATAAGGAACAACAAAGGCCCCAAAATTGATCCCTGTGGCACCCCCGAGGTCACTGGTAAATATTCAGATTGCTCACCATTAATTACTACTCTATGTTTTCTTCCTGTCAAGTAAGATCTAAACCAAGATAGTAAAGATCCCCTAATACCTAATGATTCAAGTTTGTGCAAGAGTTTGACATGTGGAACTTTATCAAAGGCTTTTGAAAAATCTAGATATATAACATCAATTTGGCGTTTATTCTCAAGTGCTTCACCAAATTGATGTACTACCTCTATTAACTGACAAACAGTAGACCTTCCCGGAAGAAACCCATACTGCCACTTGGATAGATAATGTTCTATAACACCAAACATCCCATTATACACTTGCCTCTCCAACAACTTAGACAATATATCAAGAAGAGATATTCCTCTGTAATTGGGTACCACTGACCTAGATTTATGAATTGGAACCAAGTCAGTTTCCTTCCACTTATTGGGAAAAGTGGCATTTCTCAATGACATATTAAATAATTTGCATAGAAAGGGCGATAATTCGTCAGCACATTCACGCAATACTTTAGAAGGCAATCCTAATGATGCCTTGTTAATATCGAGTAATTTAAGCTCTCTACAAACAGCATTGCTATCAATCACAAGTTCGGATAATTCATGTTCAACATTATAACTAAGCTCAGGTAATTGTATTAAATTGGTAGAGTCAGAAGGATTGAACACTGAGTGAAAAAAGGCATTCAATAAATTAGCTTGATCTTTTGACTTAGATGCCTGAACTAATCCATATGACACTTTTCCAGGAATTCTGTTAGATTTGGTAATTGTTTTGTAATAAGACCAGAATTTTTTTGGATTGGTTTTTAAAGAATGACCTAATTCATCTAAATAATTGCGTTTGTTAAATTTAATTAGCTTCTTAACATGATGCCTAATATTTCTAAATTTTTCCCACTGATATGGAGAATCAATCAACTTAGCCTTGCGCCTAACTCTATTCTTCTTCCTGATCAAATGCATTACTTCAGCATCTATCCATGGAGGTCTATTCGAATCTCTTATTATGATTTTGGGAACATATTCATCAATGCATGTAAGGACTAGGTCCTGCCAGCAGACAAGACTACTTTCAATATCGTCTTCAAACATTGCGGTTTCCCATGGGATACATTGTAATGCTAATTTAAGACCTTCTAAATCCGCCTTTTTAAAATTGTAAACATTACGACTAATTTTTTTTACGCGTTGAACTTTTGTAAGTATTTCAAAGCTAACTACTGAATGATCAGAAGTCACAAGATCTGCCTCTACTTTAATGTTGCAAATGTCATCGGGATGATTACTGAAAACCAGGTCTAAAGTCGACTGCCATTACTCTTCCTAGTTGGTTCGCAAACTACTTGGGTAAGAAAATTTAGTTGTATAAGGTCACAAAATCTATTCCCATTGGCAGAATTTGTGATGTTGACGACAGTGTTCCAATTTATATGTGGCATATTAAAGTCACCGATTATGCAAATTCTGTTCGAAGCTTCTCGTAAGTTGTTTAATAGAATATCAAAATGGTCGAAAAACAAATTGCAATCAGGAGGCACACACTGTAAATTTCCTTCGATTCAAAGGATAAAGTTCAAACACAAGAATCTCTGAATCCGTCGGTTCAAGATCAATTCTCCTATACGAGAGAATATCAGCTTTAACGGCGAGTAAAACACCACCCCCTCTGCGGTTATTAGCTCTATCCTTCCTATAGATTGTATAGTTATCGGAGGGCAATATTTCCTCGTTATAATAATCTGCTCGTAGCCATGTCTCAGTTACGCCAATAATATCCAAGTTATTGCCATAAACCAGACCGTGAAACTCATCAATCTTGTTGCATGTAGAACGACAATTAACAAGACTACACTGAAGCTTGTTATGCAAGGACGTTCCAGATGATCGAACACGAGAGACGCTTGCAAAATCAGGTCGAACCGTTGTAGTTATATTAGGGCCAGGATTAGGATGGATATCCATGCTCAATAATATAGACTTCTTCAATGGATTAAATGTTGCAGTCGAGTTCGAATAATACGCAACTCTTCTCTGTAAAAACTTTTTATCGTTAGATGACATTCGAAGCAACTCCTGGTGAACAGATAGAACGCCATGTGCTACACACAAATCCGAGCTACGATCAAATATAAATATATTCACTAACGTTAGCAGCACTAAAAATGCCGCTAACGGTCTTCACTAATAAACGTAAATGACCATTGACATTAAATTCAGAATGCTCATTGATTATAATGAGAAGAACTAGATAAAAGTAACTCAAATAGTCACAGCGATTTTTTACATGACCGCCCGCCATCTTGGCAACTCACGCATCGACTATTGACTATAATAAGACTATAGTCATGACTATTAAGACTATAGTCATAACTATGAAGACTATAGTAAAGCCTATGAAGACTATAGTCATAACTATGAAGACTATAGTCATAACTATGAAGACTATAGTAAAGACTATGAAGACTATAGTAAAGATTATTAAGACTATAGTAAAGACTATTAAGACTATTGTCATGACTATTAAGACTATTGTCATGACTATTAAGACTATTGATTCATAGTCATGACTATAGTCTTAATAGGCATGACTACAGTCTTAATAGTCTTTACTATAGTCTTCATAGTTATGACTATAGTCTTTACTATAGTCTTCATAGTTATGACTATAGTCTTTATAGTCATGACTATAGTCTTAGTAGTCATAACAATAGTCTTAATAGTCATCACCATAGTCTTAATAGTCATGACTATAGTCTTAATAGTCATGACTATAGTCTTAATGTCTTCACCATAGTCTTAATAGTCATGACTATAGTCTTAGTAGTCATGACTATAGTCTTAATAGTCTTTACTATGGTCTTAATAGTCTTTTCTATAGTCTTCATAGTCATGACTATAGTCTTAATAGTCATGCCTATAGTCTTAATAGTCATGATAATAGTCTTAATAGTCATCACCACAGTCTTCATAGTCATGACAATAGCCAACGGAATAAATATACCTCTTCACCCTTGCTTTAAATAATTTTACTCTGACTCTTGAGAAGTAAACATGTCTTATGAATGCGACATCTGCGATAAAACGTTTGCAAATGCGAGTAATCTCCTTCGCCACAAGAAGATTGTCCATGCATATGGAAATCGTAATCTTGGGCAACAAACTCTTACGGTGAATGGAGTTACAGTCATGCAACATCCTTTCACGTGCACAAGAAGGTTGTCCATGCATATGGAAATCGTAATCTTGGGCAACAAACTCCTACGGTGAATGGCGTTACAGTCATGCAACATCCTTTCACGTGCATCGTAGCTGGGTGTACACAAAGCGGCAAGACTGTGTGGTTGAAAACTCTTTTGGAGAATTCACAGAAAACTATAAGTCCACCTCCTCAACGTATCATCTGGTGTTATGGTCAATGGCAACCATCTTATTTTGATATGATGAGAACGATGCCTGGAATCGAGTTTAATCAAGGCATCCCCGAAGACATCGACAACGCAGATTACTTGGACGTATCGCAACGGAATTTGATCGGATTGGACGACCTTATGGCTCAATCTGGTAAAGATAAACGTATTTCTGATCTTTTTACCAAAGGAAGCCATCATCGAAATTTGTCTATCATCTATATTGTCCAAAACATATTTCATCAGGGCAAAGAAATGAGAAATATCAGCCTTAACGCTCATTTATATATTGTGTTGTTCAAGTCACCAAGAGATAAACAGCAAATTTCTATGCTTGCCAGACAAGTAAATCCTGGAAGAGTGCTAGAGTTGATGAGGAGTTATGAAGATTATGCTAATGATGATGCGCCGCCCTGAATTTTTAATGATGCGCCGCCCTGAATTTTTAATGATGCGCCGCCCTGCGCTGCCTTTCGCCGCCCTGAAAACCACCTACTATACTACTTAGCGGCAACCAGTAGAAATCAGCAATTTTGCTTATGCCTACTTATGATAATGATATTAATGAGGCTGTCAACTAATAAACCACGGAAGTTTCTTTATAGTAGCAGATCTAAATAACAGTTTGGATGGAATGTTTATATCTAAAGTGTTCCACCATTCAATCGCCCTGGACCTAAATGATATAGCAAAAAACGTTGATCTCTTAAACTTAGGTTTCTCTAGTGCACCTTTCGCACCAGACCTTATTGCAAACCTTGTGTTATATGAATGCGATTTTTTTAACGGCTGAAAGCATTGATGAATTCTAAGTTCTAACTGGTTCACCAGAGTTCATTTTTCTATTTGCCACAAGCATGGTCCTAATATATATTCTGTGCTTCAGCGACAGCCAACCAATTCCTTGAGGAACAAACGTACGAAATCTATGAGCAATCTTTAAGTAATAGTTCGCAATGCGGTTTCCAGCTGAGGTTCAATCTTCTTCAATGTTACTCCCAAAAGAGGAACATTATCAAGTTGTTGTAGTTTATCTTTAAATTCAATGGTTCGGCATTTTTGATTTTCTGACGACTTCCAATAAGAATACATTTTGTTTTCCAGGCATTCAAGATTAAATGATTTTGTGAGACCCATTCCTCAATACTTCGCATAATACTTGCATAATATAATTATTCTGTAATATTTTTTACATGGAACTGGCTGCAATAAAGTTTATGTTATACAAGACACTGTTTATCCCCGAGCCGGCGGCGCGAAGCGCCGTGCGAGGGTACTAATTCCCCCCGGCTATTTACACCCGGAGAAACGAAAGCATTAGGGAAGTCTGAAGTTCATCAATGAGCGCGGGCGTCGGTCACCAACGATGGGTGGTCATCCTCACTGATCTCAAAAAATATGGCGGACTGTCATTAAAAGCGGACACTGATTGGTCCAATTTAAAGTTTGCATTATAACGGCTGCATGACGACAGCGAAATAGCAAACATTTGACATTTCTTGATTTGATGAGTTGATGATTGACAAATTTCTTGCAAATATTCTTCATTTTTGCTCGTATTTCTGCAAGATTTTGTAAATTTCAAGAAAGAAAGGGCGAAAGAATCAGCTAAAAGAAGGGAGCCGACGTTAACAAAGGTAAGTTTGTTTTAAATATTGATTTTATAATGGCTTTAAAACCCGACGGCCTTTGCGTATATGAAACAACTAAACAAGACAGCATATAATTTCAGTGTATCTTTAATATTGATTCCCTTTTTTATTATATTGAATTTTTTAAATAAAAATAAAGCAAAGTTATTTGCAAGCGAGAATTTGAAATCATTTTATTGCAAAACTCAAAGTTTATCGATAAAGCCATTTAATAGTTAAAGGCAGTTTAGTTTTATAAAGAACACTTTAAAACGTTTTGTGAATTGTTTGTGGTTGAATTTTACCTTAAATTGAAGCTTGTATTACGTATAATTACATACCTAACATAAATATGTTGGGAAATTGATAATTTTGTAATTAAAATTGATATTTTTAGGCGATTTTTCATTTGTATTAAGAATATTCTTAAAAAATTATCGTGTTACCATGACAACTACTTCAGATACTTCATGTTCGTAAAATACAACGGTTTTGTCAGCAATGCGAGGGTTTCTGCATGCATGTATTTTCTAGTTGTTAACTTTCAATTCCAGTAATCTCACAAACCCGATTATCTACACCTACTGTATATACTTACAAATTTCGGATACGGAGTAACTTTAGTCTATATTTTTATTTAGGCCAGGCAATATATTCCGAGCTTTCTCCTGTAACTGATTTCAGAGAAGCCTGTTGCAGACAGTATGAAATGGGGTAGGTTTATGTTAATGGCACTTCGGTCCCGTAGTCATCAGGTCAAAGGCCTTTCATCTTTGAGATCATGCATGGGCTCGATTCTCGCTACGTCTGTCGTGTTATTGATTTTTCGGTCAGTCGATGTATCAGTTGGTGCGAATGGTTAACTAGGTATGCTTTGCATGCTGAATTTATATATTTTGTTTTATATTGTAGAGAGTGTACGCGTGGTGGATTTTGTAATTTCATGCATATGAGGCCCATATCGCGTGAGCTTAGGTAAGTAATCTGTTTTATTATATGGCAAGCATTTGTTTTGATGAATCGCGCAATTTGATTGGCTGCTGACGAGGCAGGATTTTCCCGTATTGCCCACGGGCAATACGCAATTTTTATTGCCCTGTGACGAGAGCCGAGTTTCAAACGGCAAAAAGTGTCTAAAAGTTTTTCAAACTATTCAAAACGAAGAAAAATAAACCTAAAATAAAGAAAAGAAGCAACTCCTGTGGTTAGAGAACTTTCTCAATACGTTTTTGTTAGCGAAAGTCGAAATTACAAGATAAATTTTACAATGTTTATAACTATATTAAAGCAGTCAGGAATAGTTGTGTTTTGACTATGTAAAGAACTGCAAGCAAATTTTATTTGCAGATAGCCAGGAGGAATTTGACACCATCCTAAATAAAAAATACAACTAAAGCAGCCACAGATTTATAATTTTTTCCCTGAAAATTTATGTTTTTGTCAGATAAAAAGAGACGTAAATATGAGATGAGGCGAACTAAAAACATACTTGTCCATACTGTTTATTAATTTTATTGTTTTCATATTTGTTTAATTGTCTTTGATGAAATGACGAAATACCTCGTATTTTTCTTGGAATACTATCCAAACTATGTTAGTATTCTATATAAAAAGTGCTGTAGTGTATAGAGTAGTTTTACTAACCAAGAGAACATTTTTTACAATTGTTTTTTTTTTTTGCAAATGTTTCGGACTTTGTACTTTGCCCTCGCGTGATCTTTTTTCCCATTTTTTACAAACGTACAATGCCATATACTAAAAAAACTTACTGACCTCAACCGTTCGGGCAGTACGGAAAAATATCCAACCTCGGTCTTGCTGTATTGACCTCGCTATCGCTCTGTCAATACAGCAAGACCTCGGTTGAATATTTTCGCGTACTGCCCTCACTCTCGGTTAGTAAGTTATTAGTATTTCTACTCCTTATTGAATGAAAGTGAATTCAAATTAAATTTGAGAGAATCGTTGCTACCCAATTCACAACATTAGATAGCTCGCATGCCTTGTTACTGTTGGTCTAGTTTAGAGAAACATGGAATAGAGCAAATGTAACTAAGCATTAGAATTATGTATAAGAGTTATTCATAATACTGAATTACCTTTGTTCTGTTCTATGCTTCTGTAAACTGGAACAATAGTAACTAGGCATGTGAGTTATCTAGTGCTGTGGAGGCTATTCTTCCTTTTTCTTCCTTAAAAATGCTGGACCTTGACGCCAGATTTTCAGTTTTTGTTCGTCCGTTGGTTTGGTGCCTCGAGAAGCATAATCTGCTGGGATTAATCTATTGGATTTTACATAGTTTCATCGAGATGGTTCTGATCCTCCTCCGATGATTGCAACACTGTTCGCGACGAATTTCCTGAATCTTTTCTTCTCTTTGTGAATACAGCTTAGAACATTATAAGAAATAGGTTTCATCCATACGTAGTCTTCCATCCAATTCCTTCTTGATGAGCTCATTCATCGTAACGGCTAAAATTGCAGCTGCTTGCTGCAACTTCGGTATGGTGATTCCTGCTCTTAGAGGCTTAAGTCTGGACTTGCTCAGCACAAGGCTACAATGAATTTGTCCCTTGTCATTAATAAAACGTAGGTAACAAAACCATACCATAATCATTATTCTCAGAGACATCCGAGAAATGGTGGATCTCTATCTGAACAATATTGCCAAACTGAGGTTTGAAGCAACGTGGGATTCCATGATTCTCCACAACAGCTAAAGAAGTTTTCCACTCTTCCCATCTGAGTGCCAGCTCGGCTGGAAGCTCGTCATCCCAGGAATACTTCAATTTGCAAAGTTTCTGATTGATTTCTTTGCCTGGTAATACTAATGGATCGTAGATAGAGGCAATCGAGGAACGGGGACTCCCTTTCGATTTCCAAGATACTGCTTTTTATTACTCACTAACTTTAACTCATCTTCTTGTCACTAACTTTAAAGTCGTTAACTTTAACACATCGTGAACTCCTATAGCTTTATCCGTCGAAGTCCATATCTAAATCTTTGACAGTTGGCGAACGTTAATTGTGTTGAAACGCTAACACTACCTTTTGACCGTCCGAGATCCATTTGGTCAAGTGGAAGCCGCCTTTTTCACGAAGTTGCTGCAGTTTTTTTCGTAATGCACGGCAATAGCACGAAGAATTAACATTAGCGAAGCTTCAAATGACTATGCCAGTAACACCACGTTACTGAGAAGATCATACTTTACTGTATTCCCATGTTGGACACGGTTGACAAAACAAGTGCCAAGATTACTCAGTGTCCTTTGCGCATCTACTAAGCGCCTAAAGAATCCATTAAAAGAGGATGTGTCGGCTTTCTTTAGTTGCATCTGCGTCAATCTTCTGACATATGCTTCTGCCACCGTATAAGGTTGACCGACTTGCTGTTTGATAGTTCTCCAAGCTGCATCATATCTCGTAGGAACAGGAAGGTTCACACAGCTTCTGGTAGCTTCTTTGGCTTTCCCTAAACATTATTGCGCCAGCAATCTTGTAAATCTGTGGGAATCATTATGAACTTGACTTCGAAATTATCTTCCAGATTAGTGACGAACGCGAAAATTCTAGTGGATCACCAGCGGAGATAATTTAGGTCGATCCTCGGTAATGTTGGCCCCTGCCTGATAACATCCGCGATCATCATGCACCCATGTCATCGCGCTGTGGATATCGCACTTGTCGACCATTAAACTCAGCAGCTTCCACATGCAATCGTGAAATTGATGCTGGTTGGCTCCTCATTGGAACACGTGGATGCTGGCTTCGTACTGGGATGTGTGGGTACGGGCTTCTCACTGTAACATTTGGAACACCTGAAGTTAATCTAAATTCACGACCACGACAGCTTTTCTGTAAACTTATCGTGACTAAATAAATGCTTATTATTATTATGGCAGGGTGCGATGATTCAAGAATTTTACCTGACTGGTACTGTATGTCAATATAGAGGTTAAGATTCACGTTTATGGCTGACCGGTAACCGCAAACGGCAAACTTCAAGCCGTATTTTGAGGTCAACTGTTAGCTGTTCGAAGTTAGGATAATTTGTGCATTTAAATTGAAGAATGAATTGACTAAAAACCTGTCGAAACCTTCGGCGCGCACGTGAACTAGTACAAACTCAATACTCAAAGTATACCTACTGATATACTCTTCCAAATAAAGTACAAGTTTCTGAAAGGTATTCAAACTACGAGTTAGAAGAAGAAGCACAATTGCACACACAAACAATCGGCCCCAACATTCCTTATATCATACACATATACCAACTAAGTTACGGTATTGGATACCTTGAGATGGGAAAGGTCATATGGTACCAGCAAAAAGTAAGAAGTACTGTACGCAGATAGCAAAAGTACCGCCTACGTGGTACGTGGCTGAAAACAAGGGAGTACCAGAACATAATATTGGCGTACCTTCGGTGGGCAAGTACGCGAAATATCGCACCCTGAATTGGCTGACTGGAACACCAATCGGGTTATGTGGAAAGGGATTCATTGTTGGAACACCTGGACCACAAACTGGAACTTGCGGAGAGGGATAGCAGACTCCATGGAACACAAACGTTATCCAAATTTGTTTACTCAGCAGTTTTAAAATGCAGGTCATGAGCAATCTAATTATTGTGCACGTTTATCTGCTTCACAAAGCTTCTTCGCAAAGCTTTTCATCCGTGACCCAAATCAGCACTAAAGTAAAAATAACAACAGTATCTCTGTATATGTATAGTATGCATTGACGATAATCTGGATTGAGAACTTACTGTAGCTCTTCAAGACATCTTGTCAGCAATGCCCGTCGATTGTTGGTATTGTGACACATTCACACATTTTTCATGGCCAGAAATACGATTTTAAAAATATGTTTGTATAATTTTTGTAGACGCGAACTTTATGGTCGAGTGCGAAGAAACAAAAGGTGAGACAATGTAAAATATTTCCAGAGGTTGAGATTTCAATCTTTGATGGTGGATATGAGTGTAGGAATACTATACATATAAAATTTTGCTATAATCTAGTCGAGGTCGATTGCGAACAAAATTATATAAAGTTCCCCAAACAACCAAACAATGATATAACATTTGTCAACACGGACGTTAGATTGCCGAGGGGGGACTGGATTAAAAACTGGGTTAGTGTCAGTTCGTGGTAATCTTCAACACGTATGACAAAACATAAGATTTTTAAAGTTTTCACTTCCATACACCAGCGCTAGGATGCAAAATGCCGCCAAAATTAGTTAAAACCAATTTTCGGGTGACGTCCGTGTTGTAGGAATGTTCGGTATGAGAAATTTCCGATATCGGTATACCGAAAAAATTATATACCAATATTATCGCTATACCGGTTTTCCTTTGATAATTATAAAGGAAAATTCTTTAATGGAAATTTGAAGGAAATTTTGAGTAATTCTAAAAGGGAAAACGATAATTTCGAAGCTGTTTCGAACATGCTTCGAACGACGTTCACGTACTCAGTGGAAATTCTAAATCATTGCAGTAGAAAGTTCTTTGAATTGCCATTCAGTAGTAAAATAAAGGTTACGGTTTCGCCATATAGTTGGTAAATTTAACACGATATGCCAAAAAATTCCGGGATATTGGAAATTTCGGTATATCGGTATGGTTGAATATCCGGTATCGATATACCGATATTGATTTAATACCGATATTTTCGGTATGTCGGTATACCGAACAGTCCTACCGTGTTGACAAAAACGTCACTTGCTTAAGCTCACTAAGGGCCTGTTCATATGATCCCGCTTACCGGGACGTCTCGCTTACCGATGATCTCGCCGCCTATCTATTTTCCTATAAAATTTTGCATTGTGTTCATATGGGAAAGCGAGCTGGCCCGCTTGCCGAGATCTCGTTTGAATTTGCCGAGATCATAGGTAGGCGGGATGAAAATTTTTCCATATGAACACGCCAGCCCGCTTACCGGGATGAAGTGAAACAAGTCTTGCCGGTTTAATTTAACACTTTTTACTTGGTTTTATGTTTGTTTTGTAAACAAGTATTAAATAACCACCTGAAGCAATACTTTTTCTTGTAAATAAACGAAGAAAAACACTAAAATCGCCAAGTATTTGTGTTGCTTGACTGAAATGTAGAAGTTTTGCATACGCTAATTATAGAACTACAATGTAATTTCATCTCGGCAAGCGGGACGAAATACTCCATATGAACGCACGGAAATATTCGTCTCGGTAAGCGAGACGTCCCGGTAAGCGGGATCATATGAACAGGCCCTAATATTATAGTGGAACAGAAGAGGCAGCATTCATAGTCAGAAACCGAAGCAAAGATACTACACTATAATAGTATATTTTTTATGAATATTTGTTTTTTATATCACTATTATATGATGTATTTCTTGTATATTTCTAGGCCTGTTTATCGTTCTCCATCTCCTCCGTACAAGCGTCGTTCTACATCTCCTCCATACAAGCGTCGTTCCAATTCTCGTTCCCCACCACCTAGAAGAAAATCCAGATCTCGCTCCCCTCGTCGTTAGAACTGACATGGGACATTTCCAAACTGCATGATGTTTATTCTGGACCAACAACTTTCATTTAGATTCGTGACTGTTATAAGTGTATTGTATAATGGTAACCCGGTTCTTGCTTCCTAAAAACGTTTTTAGCTTTTAGTTACTGTGTGTGCTTAGCTTGTAGTGTTCCATGACCAGTGCATTATTCGCTGAAGCGTAATACGATTTGCTTTTCAAACACGTTTATAGTTTATAATATCAAAACTTAAAATCAAACTTTAAATTTAAACCTTAATATCACAACCTAAAATCAAATCTTTAACTTCAATTAGACGAGACCGTCATTCAGCCTATGAGAAAGCTCAGAAAATTGAAGCCAAGTCGACATTAGGGCCATTTATACGGAACAAAATAGGACGCGACTTACATAAGACGCGTCTTAAGTAAGACGCGAGCTTGTCGTATAAAAGGTACAAAATTATTATGTAAGACGCGTCTTACATAAGAACAGGTCTTTTAGCTGTTCTTATTTAAGTCGCGTCTTAAATAAGAAATTTTGGACAAAAAGTCTAACTACACATGCCGGAAACTTGAAACAACGTAAAATTTAATGCCTTGTATATTAAAACAAAAACAACCAAAACAACGTAGCTATAGCAAATAAATAAGACCAAAGCCGAAGAGAACCATTTATGCGATGACTCCACTTATTTAAGTCGCGTCTTATGTAAGTCGCGACTTATTTTGTCCCGTATAAATGGCCCTAATGATCCATCTAAGTCTATCCATCCATCCAATGGCTATATTATTTCCACGCTAATTCCAGTTTTTCCTAACTGTCGTACTGTATTATCCTTTAAGTCGATGTCAAAATGCGAAATTTCGGCACGCTCCTTGCCAGCTTCGTGTTAACCGCGCAGACCAAAACAATAGAAAAGGACTGGAACTGACCAATCGCTCTTCAATTTTCCCCACCTTGCATTCACATTTTGGACTCGAGTTCTCGCTCCAGATATACGAGTCTCACTTAGAATCAAAACTAAAATCATAACTTAAAACCAAACCTTAAAATTTAAATCAAACGAGACTAATTTGAAATCAAAACTTAAAATCATGTTATTTTACGAGACTCACCTGTAACTTGAAGTTTAAGTATGGTTTTATGAGTTACTGGTACATACATAAAAACGCTCAAGTTGTAACAAACCTGCAGCAGACTTGTAGCAATGCTGTCCCAAAAACTTGTCAACAGGATGTGTTCGCCCTGTTTGTTCCCAGTTTGTTGGTAAGTTGGCAACGGCTTGTTGACAACTTGCTACAAAGTTATTGAGCTCAACAGACTTGTTACAAGTTGTAACAAGATGCAATTCAACAATATGTCAACAAGTTGTGAGTGACAACCCTGGGCACTCACAAATATACGAATTGTGAACTTGGTAGAATTAATAATACAGACACAGTGATGGCGTTGGGCATGTGACTCCCCTCTCCCACCAGTAACTCAGAGTCATACTTGAACTTCAACATACAGTTCAAGACGGATTTCCATTCAGTGCAAAATGTTGCGCGATCGACTTTTTGCGATCGCTTTCTTTTGAAATACAAACAGTCAAGCGGAACATATCTCATCAGCTGTAGCTGACTGTATACATTCGCAAAAAATCGATCGTGAGACATTTTGCAGTGAATGGAAATTATGGAAATCCACTTTAAGTCTCGTCCAATTGGAATTCTTTTTTGTCGGATATCAAATTTGGATATCAAATTTGCGTCGGCCAATCTGGAACAATCAACCAAACTGTGGCTTTTCGTACTCTTTCCAATGAATCAAGGTCAAGTGCATTGTCTCTACAATTCTGTCGAAATCTACTGTATATTCGATCAGTTTCATCGCGTAATTTACGCTACTTTGTCAGCCCCAATGTTTTCACAACCAAATTTTCTGGTGTCAGGCGAATTTTACAGCACTTTGCGCCTGAGTGCTGGCTACAGATATAGCTAAACAGGCAATAGATCCCAATTTGTATGATGTTTAACAAATATAAAACGTTTTCCGTGTTGATATACAGTATATCAACACGAGTGGAAATTGGGAAAACGAGAAATTGTGTGGAAACACGACGCCCGAAGGGCGGAGTGTTTTCATACAATTTCGAGTTTTCCCAACTTCCACGAGTGTTGATATTATACAAATAATGAATGTTTATGAGTGCAATGGTAAGAATATTTTCATGAGGTGAAAGATGGAATGTTCCATTCAACGAGGCGACAGCCGAGTTGAATGGAACATTCCATCTTTCACCGAATGAAAATATTCTTACCATTGCACGAAGAAACATTCATTATTTGTTTTATATAATACCAAAAATCCAGAACAGACTAATAGATTCGTATGAGAAGCATTTTGAGGGATGCGATTTATCGAAAGCACAAAGAGTGCAATTGTACTATACGTTTTATTCCATTGCACTCGCGGAGAGTGCAATGGAACGCGTTCCATTGCACTCTTGGGAAATGGAATTTTCTATACTATACTATACTATACTATACTATACTATACTATACTATACTATACTATACTATACTATACTATACTATACTATACTATACTATACTATACTATACTATACTATACTATACTAT